TTTTAGAGAGAGAGGGAGGGAGGGAGAAAAATGGGGAGAGAAATATTGATATTCAAGAGAAACATCGATTGGTTGCCTCTGGCATTCCCCCAACCAGGGACCTGACCCGAAACTCAAGCATGTGCCCTTACCAGGAATTGAACCAGCGACCTTTCTGGTTGATGCCCAGCCCACTGTGTCCCACCAGTCAGGGCCACTGTAGGTTTTCTGTACATGTTCCTTATCAAGTTGAGGAAGTTCTCCTTTATTCCTAGTTTGAGAGTTTTTATGATGAATGAGTATTGGGTTTTATTACTGGGTACTGAGTATTGCATTATGAAATGTTTGAGTTTTTTATTTCTTTTTCTCTACTCTGAATGATTAAGAACTTAAACTTCAGAGTCATGAAAGAGTGACTTGGGGCAAACGCCACTTACAATCTGTGAGATCTTAGGCAAGAGTTTTCTCGTGGGATAAAAATAAATAGCAATTGGTGGTGACGGTAAATGATGGTAATGATATTACTTGATTTATTAAAAATAATACCATTATATAGGCCTCTCTTTCCTTCCACATATAGTGTTGGAAAATATATTTTTTTACCAGGAATCCTTGGTGCCCTGCAAATAATAATCTGTTGAATAGAGAACCCCTTCTCCAACAGAGTTCCCCTTTATTCATTTATGTCACTTTGACAAAAATAGTAGAATACGGTGGACACTAGATGGAGCACCATTCCAAAGAGAGTAATACCTTCAGTAACCAAGACCTTTCTTTTATTACTTACTTAAAAATTAATCATGTCTAGAAAAATAATTGCACACAATTTCAGGTTACCTTGATACATTTTTCAGGGAAGCAAAAATGGATTTGAATACTTCAGAGATGTAGATATGAGAAAACAAGCAAGACAAAGATTGGGATACACCACAGTGCTGTGTGATACTGTGTGATACTGTAGGCTGAACTGTATGTCCCCTCTCCCAACTCATACATTACAGTCCTAACCCCCAGTGCCTCAGAATGTGACTGAATTTGGAGCTAGGGTCCTTAAAGAGGTAACTAAGTTAAAATGAGGTCATTTGGGTGGGCCCTCATTGAATATGACTGGTGTCCTTCTAAGGAGAGAAAATTTGGATACAGACACATGGAGGACAATGTGAAGATGAAGAAGATACACTCACAAGTCAAGGAGCAAGGCCAGGAACAGATCCTTCTTCAGGTCCCTTAGAAGAAACCAACTCTGCTGAACCTTGATTTGGGCTTCTCACCTCCAGAACTGTAAGAAAAATAAATTTCTGTTGTTTAAGCCAGTGATTTTCAACAAATGTGCTGTAAGAATTTTTAAAACATGCAATACCTGACTGTTTAGTCAGGGGCACTGACCTCTTTCCCTTAGACTGTCAAATAAAAATGACAACAGCCAACACAATAACTATCTGGTGTGAATGAATCAAAACTATACCTTTTTTTGTCAGATGGGCAAAAAATATATTTTTGGTGTGCTGCACAATTTCAGCAATTAGCTTATGGGTGCCATGAGATTGAAAAGGTTGAAAATCACTGGTTTAAGCCATTCAGTCTGTGGTATTTCGTTATGTGAGTCCTAGGAAACCAGCACATGTGAAAAGGAATACTAGAACATGATCTCCACGAGGGCAGGAATTTTTGTCTTTTTTGTTCACTGATGTACCTCAAGCACCTAGAACAATGGCTGGCATATAGTAGGTGTTCAATAAATATTTGCCAAGTCAACTAATAAATAAAGCAGATCAATAAAGTTCTTCCCATACATCACTCTATTAAATACCACCGATGCTTCAGTGACGCTTTTTTATTTTCATAACACCTGAGAACCTGGACTCCCCGTGCCCTTACCAAGTGCTGTGGTGAAGTTCATCTGCTGCCACCACCCACACCTACAAAACCCTCTGCTGAAACGCTTGTTATGATTCAATTCCTGAAGTAACTTCCTTATGAGAAGAGCTAAGAAGATTAAAATAAAAAAGCTTCTGTAGTACAATGAATGTGAATTAGTCCACATAGAGAAACAGATCAAAGTTACTAGTTCCATCCTGGGGAAAATGCCACAGACAGATTGAACTTGCTGGCATTGCTGTTCCCTCAAAAGTATCTGGTTAGCTGATTTCACCAAAGGCACCAAGAACAGCCTGGACTTAAAATTTAAAGTAAAAAAATAAGCAAGGACTTTCCTGTTGTTCTTATTAAAGCATTTTGTGTGTGGACACAGGAAAAAGACTAATTAAATTTCCTTGACTTATTCAATTATGGATTCATGGTGCATGTCTGTTTTTAAACTGATTTCCATGTCTTAATGTAATCATGATCACCATCAATCAACACTTAATTTGATACCCTGAATATGCTAGGGTAATAACAGCAAACAAAATAAAACATAAGAGAAATGTGGAATATATAAAGTACTCTGATTTTAACTTATATGCAAATATCCTTTAAATAACAGCTAAAGGGGAAAAAGCATCGACATTATAGTAAGTCTGTTAGAGGTGCTAAGCTTATAAGTAATTCTCTCTGTTCAAATTTGTAATTTTATATGTCTCTCTTTCTAAAGCATAGTTTTCAAAACCCATTCTAACTTCTAATCACTCCAGAGAGAAAACTTAAGATTAAAAATTTCCCCCAAGGGAGAGGATGATACACTAATATTTATTTTTTAAATGTGTTTAATCAATACATTTATACAGAATATGCATGAGAAAGCCAGAATCCGCCAGTTTCATAGGCAAGTGAAATTCAGCATTCTGAAATAAAAAATCTGGAAACTCTCACCCATTCTGAAAGTAATTTAAAAATCAAGTTAAAACTCGTTCTCAGTTTTGGGTCCTGCAATCAGCTCCCAAACTGACGCAATCCGAAACCAGAGCCAACACGTGTTTACCAGAGTCTTTGTCCCAAAGGGAGGAGCATCTTTTCTGATTCTCCAGAAGTGATGCTGCTGGCATTGCCTAGACTTGCGCAAAGGTCCCTACTTGTGCAGGAATACAAACATGAAATTCATTCTTGAAATATTTTCCTTTCCAGCAAAAATGAAAGCTAAATACCTTCTCACAATAAGCAATCTGCAGTTAAGCTCTCCTCCACTGCATTTGCTTCTCTTTCCTGGGAACCACAATATAAACAGGAAATTCATGTCTCTGGGGCTTATCCATTGCGGAATGGAAAAAATGAAGCTGTAGGCTTGCTCAAGGGTGATTTAGAAAAGACAGGTCATTAGAGTACTATACTTCCCTCTTTATCTTATCCAGGAGGCTTATAAATCAAGAATGCACACCAATCCCAGGAATGTAAAGTGCTTTGTCCGTAAGTGACTGGAACGCACCTTGAGGGCGCTGCATCAGGCTTTATCACACAGTAGACTCTGCACCCTACAGCACACCTGTCACAATTGGGCGTACTCATTTCCGTCTTGGCTGCCACAAGGCTCCAGAGCTAAAATCAGAAAGTCTACCATCTCATATTACCCAAACATTGCAAAGTGTTAGGTGTTAAATAGCCAAATATTGAGCACATTAAAAAAAAAAGAAAAAAAGTGCCCCTCACTTGGAATAGCTCTGTTATCTTCATTGCTGTGGTGATTATATGAATCTATGCGTGATAAAATGGCATAGAGCTACATACAGATCTTGTGTCACTGCCAATTTCCTGTAAACTATTTGAGGTAATCATTGTGGTGAACCTGGTAGAGGATACATATTAACCTCTCTGTGCTGTCTTTGCAACTTCCTGTGAATCTGTACTTATTTCAAAATGAAATATTTTTGGCCCTGGCTGGTATGGCCCAGGGGATTGAGCACCGGCCTGCCTGCCTGCGAACCAAAGGGTCACTGGTTCGATTCCCAGTCAGGGCACATGCCTGGGTTGCAGGCCAGGTCCCCAGCGAAGGGCACGAGAGAAGCAACCATACATTGATGTTTGTCTCCCTCTCTAAAAAATAAATAAATAAAAATCTTTAAAAAACAAGCAAACTAAAATGTTCTTAAAAGTGCACCTTGTGATGTCCATCAACATAGTTTGAACATTTCGGCATTAGGACAACTCATGGAGAATAAAACATTGCCTGGTTTTCAAATGTGAGTCTTGAGCCACAACTCAACAGCTTGAGGTTGGGAGTAACTTGTATCTGCTTTCCCTCTGCTTGGGATGCCCTTTCCGACCTCCGGCTTCCCTCGCCACCTGTCCCCCTTCCCATGGCTGACACCTTCTCATCCTTCAGGTCACACCTCAATGCCACCTCCTTACAGCGGCCTCCCCTCATCCTCTCAAGTTGATGCCATCTGCTATTCTCTGGTTCCCTTCACCGCGTTCTTCGCCACGTGGAATGGTTTGGTTAGTGTGTTTGCTGCTTGTCTGTCCACTAGACTGTAAACTCCTTGAGGGAGGCGCCGGGTCTGTGCCTCGTCCACTGTACCCAACAATGAGCTCGGCAGGCGACAGGTGCTCCAAAGGACGTAGTTTTCATAAACGCACGTCACTCGAGTCCACTCGCTTGACTTGAGGGCGGTGGCGTCGGTTCCTTCCGCTCACGCCACTGGTCCTGCAGATCAGGGACTGTCTCAGCGCCCTCGCTTTGGCCACCGCGTGCCCTTCTGCTTCCTTTCCTCAGCCCAGACCCACCAGTTCAGGGAAGGCGCCATTTTCGTTTCTCATTCGTCTGTCCACAAGGGCGCCTTTTCCTCATTCGCAACTTTTCCTTATTCCCAACTGTTCCTCGGGCCATCCAGTTAGCCGTTTCCCCAAAACCTTCAGCCGCTGACCCCTGCCTGTTGACCTCCCTCCGGTTTCTTCTTTCCAGTGCTGCCTCCAGGGCGCCTCACCGCCCTCCCGACCACGCCCCTTAGCTTTGGGACTAAGCGGGAAGCGCTCACCCCAAGTCAGAGCGGGGAGGGCGGGTGGGTGACCGTGGGGGGGGGCGTGTCCTCTTTAATGCTGGCCGTCGATTGGCCTGGCCGCGGGGAAGGGGCGGGACTGCGGACTGAGTTGCCAGACTCGGGTCATCTCCAGGCACTCTTGGCGGCACCGGGTCTGGCTTCGGCGATCGCGTCCGGACTGGATAGCGGCGACCCCGGCTCTGGCAGCATGTCTGAGAAGAGGCACGAAGCGGACCCCCAAACCCGGAGGGGCCCTGATACCTTCAAGGGTAAGCCCTGCGCCCCCTACCCCTGTCCCCAGCCGGGAGCTCCCAGGCTAGTCTCCGTTGCTTAGCAGTGCGATCGCTACTTAAATCTGCGGTTTCCTCACTTGCACGCCGAGAATGACGAACCCTGTTTCACGGGCTGTGGGTCAGGTCTAGGGATGCTAGGGTGCAGAGTGAACAGAGCTGCGTGGTCAGCACACAGTGGACGCGCCAACAGCAGCGCGCGTTTCCAGTACGCGAAGTCGTCCGGAGAGAGGGCGGGGGCATCTGGCGTTATCCAGTGGTTGCCAAATGCCAGGCCCTGTGCCAGAGCTTTTGGTTCCTTATCTCCTGCCACGCACGCGGACAGGGAGATACAAAAGTGACTCGGGGCCAGCGAGTGGTGAAGGCGGGGTTCACACCTGCACTCCACACCCGGGACCCCGCATCTTCCCTGTCTGCCCACTCCTCTTTCCTCCCCTCCCTATCCCCTCGGAGGCCGCCTCCTCCACCCAGCCTTCGTCCACCCCGCACCCCCCGGCGTGAGCCCTCCCCCGCCCCCGCCGTCTCCGGCATTGGAAAGAACTTAGCTCCCCTACTGAAACTCCCGGCCAGTTCCATGTGTTGTAATAAGCAAGACCGACCTGTGAGGTTTCGCGCCCAGCTCCTGACTCAGAGTGGGCCGTATTTGGGGAAGAAGAGAAGTCTCTTGTTGGCCTTCTTCCCGCAACTCTTCCCAGCTTCACTTTCTACCCCATTCTGTCCCCTCCACTTTATGTTGTCCTAAGGACCTGGCTTTTGTCCCTCACTAAGATCTCTGGGTTCCCTCACTCTCATTCGCATCCACCAGGGGCCTTCCCAGTCTTGAAGGCAGGAACTGTAAGTGGCTCAGTTTAGTTCTCCTGTGACGGAACTAGTGCCCTTGAGAAGGCTATCACCTTGAACCATTATTGGCTAACTCCGTAGGGAGTTCAAAAAGAAAGGCATCAACCTCTCAGGAGACATTGGTCCCCTCCCAGGGCCTCTCAGCAACCCAAAAGAATTATTTCTATGGATGGAATTTCAGACAGGATGACAGTGAAAGAAATTTAGGGGGCTGAGTGTTTTTCAACACCGCCACAAAGAATGCTACAGGGTCCAGCACAAGTAACACCCCTTTTTTATTACAAAATGTTTTATTACAAAATCATAAGCATGTACTTCTGTAACATAACAAAATCACACTCAAGCACACCATATGGCATTTTAGGTGAAACGTTCAAATTAAAACTGTAAATTATTACACCCATATTGTGACCCTACCAACCACACTCAAGCAAGGTGTTACTTCTGCTGGACCCTGTATTTTGAACTCATCTATTCTGAGTATTCATAAAGCTGGCCTTGTCCACTCGTCCTGTATAAGCCCGATTTGCCTTTCCCGGTGATCCTTGTCGTTAGTTAGTTCCTTCCCAGGAGCATCAGACTTACTGAAATCTTTGTCCCTCACTGTTCTCTGGTAAGCACCTTGCAGAGTTCTCTTCCCAAATCAGGAGAGTAACAAGGAGGATAAACTTTAAGAAAGTGACACTCAAAGAAGTTAAATGGCTTAAATGTCACACAGTTTATATGGAGCCATATTTTAAGTCTGGGTTTGACTCTAAAACTTGAAGATAAAAAAAAATTGGGCCATTCACTGTTTTTCTAGATAGGAAGGTGGGCAGGTCCTTTTTCCAGTGGGAGACTCAAGGACTATCCGCATTCAAAGTGGGTGAAACTGCAGTGGGAAATCTGTGTACAGAACTTCTTTGGGAATAAACATGATCCTTGTACTTAGTGTTCATTTAGTTGTTTTTCATCGTCACTGACCAGTTTTCACTTCAAAGTTCATTTTATAAATCTTTTAAGAATATAATGAAAACTATACAACGTCTCAGAAAATTATACATGCAAATAAAATTTTGCTTTCTATGCCTTTTAACTTTCATTGTTTTATTTTCACTGGATTATTTCAATGTATCAACTACACAATTGATGACAGTATTCTTACCAGTGCAATAATCATGCAGGTTGATCCCTGTCTCTATTGCAAATGCTAAAAGAAATCCTCTTGTTCTTCAGTGGAAAAATTAGTGAAAAGGTCTTCAATTAGTGCAGTCACTTTTTTATTTCAGTTTTAACACATATTTTTTATTTTTATTTTTATTTTTATTTTTATTGTTGTTCAAGTATAGTTTTCTGCCTTTTCCTCCCATCCCAGCCCTCCCATCCAGCCCTCCCCACCTCCCTCCCGTTTCCACCCCACCTTGTTTCTATCTATGTGTCCACTTTTTTAAAAAATGTAAACCTTAGAGATCTGACACTGGTAGGAATGTCATTACTAGAATTTACTGAGTGCTTACTACTTGGCAAACGCAGTCCAAGTGCTTTACAAACATTATGTAATTGCAAGCCTCTAACAGCTCTGCAAGGAAGATATCATTATCCAATACTTCACAGCAAGGAAACTGAGGCTCCGGGTGCAAAAATCACACACACCCCTGCATGACGCAGAGTTAGGTTTCAGACTCGGGCTCTCTGGTTTTCCAAACCATTTTCCTGTCCTAGAGCTACCTCCAAAATGCATATCCAAACTGAGGACCTTGTCAAACATCCGTATTTCACTGAAGGTAAAAGACAAAAACAAAGAAAGTGTCCAGCTCTATTGAGACCTCTTGAACAAGGCAGCTCCAGTGGGCTGCTTCTGAGGGAAGCAGTGGATAGAAAAGCTGACAGTCTTAGGAACATAAATATGACCAAACCTAGTGCAAGACTAGTTTTTCTTAAAGCCAGTACATTCATTTCGTAATGAAACAATGCAAGTGGATTGCCCAGAAATGTATTATAAGTAAGAGTTATCAACAGAACAAATCCTTTTGAGAAAATGCCTGAAAATAAGCAGAAGCCAGGGACTGATTTGTTTATTTGAGTTCTACAGCCATCAGATTGGGCAGAACTTTGTAATTTCTTCAATAATGAATCTAGTTAAAGCATCGACAGTCATCATTTAATTCAAACAGGGGACCAAGTCTACAAAAGCTGGTATTTATCTATTTTTTTGTAATAATTAAATAGGTTCTTGGTACCACCTGATGGTTTAAATTTACACTGTGAAAGACAGAGTTAATAATTCCCTGGTTACTTTAAAGAAAAATATTTCTTCTTTTTTTTTAAAGATTTTACTTATTTATTTTTAGAGACGGAAGGGAGGGAGAAAGAAAGAGAGAAACATCAATGTGTGGTTGCTGGGGGCTGTGGCCTGCAACCCAGGCATGTGCCCTGACTGGGAATCGAACCTGCAGCACTTTGGTTCACAGCCTGAGCTCGATCCATTGAGCTATGCCAGCCAGGGCAGAAAAATATTTCTTTAATACATTTTATTGACTATGCTATTATAGTTGTCCCACTTTTTTCTCCCCTTCCTCTCCATCCTGCACCCTCCCTCCCTCCAGCATTCCCCCACCTTAGTTCATGTCCATGGGACATACATTTAAGTTCTTTGGCTTCTCCATTTCCCATGCTATTCTTAACCTCGCCCTGTCTATTTTGTACCTACCATTTCTGCTTCTTATTCCCTGTACCTTTTCCCCCATTCTCCCTTTGCCCCCTCCTGGCTGATAACCCTCCATGTGATCTCCATTTCTGTGATTCTGTTCCTGTTCTAGTTGTTTGCTTAGTTTGTTTCTGTTTTTCTAGGTTTGGTTGTTGATGGTTGTGTTTGTTGTCATTTTACTGTTCATAGTTTTAATCCTTTTCTTTTTCTTAGATAAGTTCCTTTAACATTTCATGTAATAAGGGCTTGGTGATTATTAACTCCTTTAACTTGACCTTATCTGGGAAGCACTTTATCTGCCCTTCCATTCTAAATGATAGCTTTGCTGGGTAGAGTAATCTTGGATGTAGGTTCTTGCCTTTCATAACTTTGAATACTTCTGTTCAGTCCCTTCTTGATTGCAAGGTTTCTTTGGAGAAATCAGCTGATAGTCTTATGGGAACTCCTTTGTAGGTAACTGTCACCTTTTCTCTTGCTGCTTTTAAGATTCTGTCCTTATCTTTAATCTTGGGTAAGTTGATTATGATATGTCTTAGTGTGTTTCTCTTTGGGTCCAACTTCTTTGGGACTCTGAGCTTCCTGGACTTCCATGTCTAGTTCCTTTACCAGATTGGGGAAGTTTTCCTTCATTATTTTTTCGAGTATGTTTTCTATTTCTTACTCTTCCTTCTGGCACCCATATGATTCAGATGTCGAAACGGTCAAAGTTGTCCCAGAGGTTCCTAAGCCTCTCCTCATTTTTTGAATTTTTATTTCTTCATTCTGTTCCAGTTGAATATTTATTTCTTCCTTTTGTTCCAAATTATTGATTTGAGTCCTGGTTTCCTTCCCTTTACTGTTGGTTACCTGTATGTTTTGCTTTATTTCACTTTGGATAGCCTTCACTTCTTTTATTTTGCAGCCTTACTCAATCATTTCTTTGACCATCCTGATTACCAGTGTTTTGAACTCTGTATCTGTTAGGTAGGCTATCTCCTCGTTGCTTAGTTCTTTTTCTTGAGTTTTGATCTGTTCTTTCATTTGGGCCACATTTCTTTGTCTCTTATGTTGCACCTCTTACGTTGTAAGGGGCAGAGCCTTAGGTATCTGGCAGGGTAGGGCAGCCCACTTGGTTCGGTTGTGGCACTGTATGTGGGAGAGGGGTCAGAGAGGAACAATGCCACTTGCTCGGCTCTCACCCTGCTTTCAGTCACTTCCCCTGCTACCCACAAGCAAATCAAGCTCTTTGAAGTGCTGCCCTGGTGCTGATTCCCAGGTGGGTGGGCTTGTGCATGTTCTAGGATCCTATGGGCCCCTCTATCAGACTCTCCTGTCAGACTTCCAGTTTCTCTGGCTGCTGCAACCCCCATGGGTTTTTATAGCCAGAGGTTTGGGGGCTTTCTTTTCCTATGCTGAAATCCCAGGTTGCATGGTCCATCTTACTCCCCAGCTATCCCTTCCAGTTTATCCACAC